TGAGCTGACGCCTAATGGTTGCTTCCGGCCTGTGTGCGACTCCAACTCCAAGTGATTCGATAATGCAGCCGACAGCCTTCGAGACGTTTTTGACTTACGGGATCGCTCGCTAAATTTTGGGGTTCGTGCGACTTTCTTGTCCATCTCGTTTGCGCAAGCACCGGTTGACAAATTTGCGCGGGTAGCCATTTTTCTCTGAACACCCTTAAGAGGTATTGTACCTCAGCAACTTTATCTTCTGGCTCACTGCAGTGCGTATCAACACGCCGATAGAGCGTCCTTAAGCAACTGCGTTTGTGGCTGATTTGGTGGTTGCTGTTGTAGTTTAGTACTTGCATCTTGTTTGTCGCTTTCCTGAATATATTAGTTTTAAGGCTACCACAATCTTTGCGACAGACGAGGACATCAAATTTCCACCTCTTCTGCCTGTTCAGACAGGCGGCGTTGAGGCATGCTGAGCGATAACAAAGAAGTCAGCTTGCGCATCAAGTACAGTCTCTCCAAACCAATGCAGACCCCGTCCTTGGAACCCAAATTGAAGGACAAATCTCTGTAAGCACCTAACTCGGGTTCTCGCGACAGAATTTAGTTCGCGGAAACATAGTACAGCGCGGCGGGAAGGCTACACAAAATGCCGAAATCTCCGAAGGGTTGATAGTTACCCGCAAACCGGCCTTAAACACTTGTACAAAACTTTGAAATTATAATGAACAATCTTAGGCGAATTTGAACTTTTTAAAGAATACTTAACTTCCACAGTCGTGAAAAATGACTATAAGTTTGATGAATAAATGTAAATATAATCATCCGATGAAATACTTATAACCATACATTTCTTTACATCAAAAGACGTTTCATTTCGTCCAACTCCTTTATACCTATTTCAGGTGTTATCTTACAATTAGTTTCAGATAATCCTTTAAAGTTCGGCCAATATTCTAGCCCATTTTCAGTGTTTTAAAGCTTTCTTCCGTAAACATAGATTATGTTCAATGCTTATATTAAAACACTTAACGTGAGATCTTTCTTAAAGGCACTTGCTTAAATCGTAAATTTTGTAAGAATAGTTTTTTTTTCTTAGGATCAAATCCACTCATGTTACCAAATAAAGTGAAAATATGTGTGCTGAACGACCAACTCCAAATTTGATCATGGCCTTGCAGGAATTACCTTCCTCACTGTAGAATCAACTACCCTGGATAAGTGTTCCAAAGCTCCCACCGGTATGCGCATAATTTCCCGCTTGAAAAGTCAACCTTCACCAAGAAGTAGGGTTGGCTCCAAAGACAGGTGTGTGGTACGATTCCGGGATTGTCCGTGAAAAAATCTCCGGTTTATCATATTTATCCTGCTCTGACCGTCTTGGTTAAATAATTGACCAGCAGAGGTAGAGGTTTCACATATATTTACGACTAATTTTTAAAAGGACAAGACGATTCACCTCGTCGTGTTCAACAATTTAACAGGACCATAAATCAGAAGAAAGGTGTCAGACAGCCTGCAAGCAAAAACAATAGTACTTTCTGCACTTTAACATAGGCGACTCTAAAAATGGAGAGTATTGTGATGTAGTTGAAGTTTAGTCAAGTTGTGCCCAGAACAGATTTCTAATAAACTGCTAGGTCTGGGAAAAGTAAACGGCCCCGCTGGATCCCTGCGTTCACTTGAAATAAATTTTGTGACTCATGTCACAGTAAATTTCTGGCAAGGTATTTTTACCGTGCTCTTTGAAACCAACCTGAATGACTGGCTAGTACAAGACTCTGTTTTCCTGTTCCGCAAACATTTCCTGCGGAACAGTGTCGCATTAAGAATAAAGATGTCTCACCCAAATTTTCGCAAAGATCTGCATTCAGTTTCCGTTGTTTACCTCTGTCAATTTACTCTTCCCATTCATGATTTTAGAATCTCTTTGCCAAGTTAGATGCGAAAAGTTGGGCGATAAAAACGAAACAGTAAGCATCGGAGAGCAACTAAAAACGAGCCCCGATCATTTGAACAGAAGTTTTAGCCACTAATATTTAGAATGTCTTTTCGGATAAATCAGCACGGCATCACAGAATGCAGTTACGGCGCAAACACGTTCTTACTATAAAGAGCAGTCATTGATTCATCGAAAATGTTTGCATGCAGTATGCAAATCTTGTGCTCTCTACAACCATTGCCATCGCAGATGGTTGGAAAACATTTAGCAGACAATATAGCTCATTAATACTGTCGATGGTAATCACATGAAAATTTTTATAAAGCCCATGTAAGGTTAATGGTAGCTTTGGTCAAAGAATCTCACGATTATAATAACATCGTTAGTCAAACCGATCAAAACCATAAAAAATAAGCGTCTACTCAGGGGATTCAGAATTCGTATTCTCAAAATGGAAGACACCGGGTTCCCTATCAACAGAGAACAGAGTAAAGGTAAAGGCGGGGGTCGGGCTTTAAGGTTTTGGTCAATAACGAGTTTAAACATCACTTCACAAGGACGAGCATGAGGGGTGCTATACTAACTACTACCTTGCGTTTTCCACATTCGGAAATTATGTTCACCTAATTTTTCTTTAAGTTTGTTTTCTTTGGCGTTTTTCAAATGCTACGCTTCCGTTTTGTTTTTAAGATTTCTTTTTCGTTCCTTAGTCTTT